GGCAGCTGAAGCCATGGCAGTGGATGAGATCATTCAGGGAGAATGTGTTGGATGTGAAGAAACTGCAGGAGCCCTTATTTAAGGAACTATGTTTCCTGGGGAAAGTGGGTTTTTTACTGAGTCTCCAGTGCCTGACTCAATGTGATTTCCAAGTGACATTGGACAGAGAAGCATACTTCTACTGAAGGGCGGGGCAGACAAGAGGAGAACTGTGGTCTATAAGCCAGGAAACAAGTGTCCAAGGAAGGCGTGGAGCAGTCCATCATAATGTTAAGGCCTGCAGAGAGATCAAGGGGGATAGGGCCTGAGGAGGTCCGTGATATTTAACTGCAAGAAGTCCTGTGGAGCCCTGGTTGGTGTGGCTCAGTGGATTGAGCACCGGTTTGTGAACCAAAGCTTGCCAATTTGATTCCCAGTCAGGGTACATGCCTGGGTTGTGGGCCAGGTCCCCAGTTGGGGGTGTGTGAGAAGCAACCACACATTGATGTTTCTCTTCTTCTCTTTCTCCCTCCCTTCCCCTCTGTCTAAAATAAATAAATAAAATCTTTTTAAAAAAAGAAGTAAAAAAAGGTCTTGCGGAAACTTGATGAGAACAGTTTTAGAGGTGAAGTGGGGGTGGCTCTCAGAGGGCTGAGGAGTGGGAGGAAAAGAAATGGAGTTCTTGAGAATAATTCTTTTCAGAAGGTAGGCTGTAGGGACTTCCAGCCAAGATGGAGGCATAGGTAGACACACTGTGCCTCCTTACACAACCAAAATAAGGACAACAATTTAGAAATAAAATAACAACCAGAAATGACAGAAAATTGAACTGTATGGACATCCGACAACCAAGGAGTTAAAATAGACCAGTAGGAGGGGCAGAGTCAGGCAGCCTGGTGGAGAGGGGTTGCGGCAAAAAAAGCAGTGGCTGGTGGGCACAAAAGACAGCAGTGGGCGGACCCAGCAAGGCAGCAATTTTGGAGTGGGGTGTGGCATGCAAGGTGGTGGCAGACCGGGCAGTCCCACATTTGCGTGCAGATAAGCCAGGCGAAACTGGGGAGAGAGACACAATGCACAACCCAGGGCTCCAGCACCAGGAAATAAAGCCTCAAAATGCTGATTGAAAACACCTGTGGGTGTTGACGTGCAGAGAGAGACTCCCAGCCTCACAGGAGAGTTGGTTGGAGAGACCCATAGGGTTGCAGGATGTACACAAACCCACCCACATGGTAATCAGCACCAGAAGGGCCCAGTTTGCTTGGGGGAAGTGGCAGAAGGGACTGAAATTCGACAGAGTGGAACAAGTGCCATTGTTCCCTCTCTGACCCCTGCCCCACATACAGCGTCACAACACAGAGACATGGGTTGTCCTGCCCTGGTGAACGCCTAAGGCTCCACCCCTCACTACATAACAGACGCATCAAGACAAAAAAAAAAAATAATGGCTCAAATGGAAGATCAGATCAAAGCTCCAGAACAAATACAACTAAGCAACGAAGAGATAGCCAAACTATCAGATGTGTAGTTCAAAGCACTGGTAATCAGGATGCTCACAGAATTGGTTGAATTTGGTCGCAAATTAGACAAAAAAAATGAAGGCTACGCTAAGTGAAATGAACAAAAATGCACAGGGAACCAATAGTGATGGGAAGAAAACTGGGACTCAAATCAATGGAGTGGACCACAAGGAAGAAAGAAACAACCCATCAGAAAATAAGGAAGAAACAATAATCCCCCCTCCAAAAAAAATGAGGAGAGGCTCAGGAATCTCCAGGCCATCTTTAAATGTTCCAACATCTGAATTACAGGGATACCAGAAGGGGAAGAGGAAGAGCAACAAGTGGAAAAGTTATTTGAACAAATAATAGAGGAGAACTTCCCCAATCTGGCAAAGGAAATAGACTTCCAGGAAGTCCAGGAAGCTCCGAGAGTCCCAAAGAAGTTGGACCCAAGGAGGAACACATCAAGCACATCATAATTACATTACCCAAGATGAAAATGAAGGAGAGAATCCTAGAAGCAGCAAGAGATAAGGAGACAGTTGCCTACAAAGGAGTTCCCATCAGACTGTCAGCTGATTTCTCAAAAGAGATCTTACAGGCAAGAAGGGGCTGGAAAGAAGTATTCAAAGTCATGAAAGGCAAGGACCTACATCCAAGATTGCTCTATCCAGCAAAACTTTCATTTAGAATGGAAGGGCAGATAAAGTGCTTCTCAGATAAGGTCAAGTTAAAGGAGTTCATCATCACCAAGCCCTCATTTTATGAAATGTTAATGGGACTTATCTAAGAAAAAGATGAAAAACATGTATAGTAAAAGGACAGCAAATTCACAATTATTAACAACCACACCTAAAACAAAAACAAAAACAATCTAAGCAAACAACTAGAACAGGAACAGAACCACAGAAATGGAGATCACATGGAGAGTTAGTAACGGGGGAGTGGGAGTAGAGAGGGGGAAAAGGTACAGAGAATAAGTAGCATAGATGGTAGGTAGAAAATAGACAGGGGGAGGGCAAGAATAGTATGGGAAATGTAGAAGCTAAAGAACTTATGATCCATGGACATGAACTAAAGGGAAATGTGAGTGGGAGAGGGTATGCAGGGTGGAGGGGAATGAAGGGGGGTAATGGGACAACTGTAATAGCATAATCAATAAAATATATTTTAAAAATGAACTTATGACACATGGACATGAACTAAAGGGGGGGAATGTGGGTGGGAGAGGGTGTGCAGGGTGGAGGAGAATGAAGGGGGAAAATGGGATGACTGTAATAGCATAATCAATAAAATATATTTAAAAAAATAAAAAAATTAAATTAAATTAAAAAAAGAAGAAGGTAGGCTGTAAAGGGGAGCACAGAGTGTGGCTCCTGTAGCCAGGATATGGAGTGGAGGAAAGGCTGGTTTTGTTGTTGTTATTTTTCATAAGATTATAAAACTTGGCCTTACTTAAATGTTGATGGCAAGGAACCTAGTAGGCTGAGGGTATAGGAAAGCTGGAGAAAATGGCAACTGGGAAAGGAGGAAACCTTGTCAGAACACAGGGCCCAGGAAGAAGGGTTGACTGGGTGTGAGGAGGTCCTCTTCTGTCATAAATGAGAGAAATCATAGGCTTAATTTCTATAGCAGGAGGTATATTGGGTTCTCACCTGATATCTGTTGTATTTCTGTGATGTAGGAGGTGAGGCTTTCTGCAGAAGTGGGGAGAAGGAGGCCAGATTTGAGAAAGTAGTCAGGGTTTGCAGTCACTGTGAGAACAGGAGGGAGAGCAGGTTGGGAAAATCCCAGGATGCAGCCTGGAGAGCTCAGCTGGGGTGGAAGACCTTGAATGCCCAGTGCACTAATTTGTGTGGTCATGTGATTTTGTCTAGCCTTGCTGGGCCACCTTCACATGGGCAAAGTGGGGGACGACAGTGGATGTAGCCAGGATTGGGGTGTTGCCAGGTGGCTTAGACTAAGGAATGAGGCCTCTTTCACGTGCCCCAACAGAGAAAGAACCCGCAACCCAGGCATGTGCCCTGACTGGGAACTGAACCAATGATCTTTCGGTTTTCGGGATTATGGTCCAACCCACTGAGCCACACCCTGCAGGAAATCTGTTATCATTTTTAACCTCCCAGAGCTCTTTGGTGTTTCCTTTTATAGCATCTTGCTTTTGTTTCACAAATGTTCTTTTGTTTCTTTCCTCTTTCTGAGGATGCTAGCAGGCAGTTTTGTTTGGTTTACTTATTTTTGGAATGGGCAGTCTTCTTTGTTCCCCTCTAGATGCTGTCTTCTGTTTGTTTGGGTGCTCACCTTCTGTACCAGGAAAGACAGAGACCACTGTTTTGAGACCCTTGGCTGTCTGTCCATGTTTAAGGGAAGGGAGCTGGAAGGCTGATTGGAAGCCCTGCTGAGCAGGTGGTGGGGCTTCTCAGCTGGGAGCTTCACAACAGTGGGCTGTTTTCTGGGAACTCTTGAGGTCATTATCCTTGACACTTTTCCTCTTAGGCTTGTCAGAGGCCACAGAGAACAGTCTTTCAAACTGCATTCTGGAGGGTGTAGGTCCAGCTGCCAGAGTATTGATTTCTGGGTAGGAAAATAAGGCTGGAGGTCTTAGCATTTAGTGTGCACCTGAGCACTTAATGCCTGCTTCTCTCAGTACAATCAATACCTCTCCTTCAGCTGGACCTGGGGCCCACGGTCCAAAGACCCTGTTTCTGTACTGCCTTCTCATACCAGAAGCCTGTAGTCTTTGTTGAGGTGAATCACGCACTTGCTTAACTATACAGAGTTGGGGAGCAGACATGGGGAGAGCTCCTTCCTAAATTTTCACCTGGTTTTAGCCCTACCTTCACCTGCTTCCTTGATACTTAAAGCCACCAGCCCTTGGGCCTTTAGAGAGTCCTACAGCATGAACGGAGTGGCTTCTTAGCTGTGTCTGTCACCAGCTTAGGATTCCAATTCTGTTCCTTATCCATCTGCTTTTCAGCTTCCCAGTTATTCTGCTGTTTCCTTGTATTTGTGGGATCTGCATTAAGGAACAAAAACCACTTTACTGTTGGGGTTAGTGGTTTGAGGAGAGGAGCAAAAACCAATGTGTCCAGTCAGCCTTCTTACCTAGAGATTCCCCTTCATTTTCCTCCCTCCCTCCCTCCCTCCCTCCCTCCCTTCCTTCCTTCCTTCCTTCCTTCCTTCCTTCCTTCCTTCCTTTTTTTCTCTCTAGTGGAGGGGAAGGGAGGGGAGGGAGAAATGGAGAGAAACATCAATGTGGTTGCCTCTCACACACCCCCTAACAGGGAGCTGTCCTGCAACCCAGGAATGTACCCTGACTGGGAATCAACCAGGCAACCCTTTGGTTCATAAGTTGGTGCTCAATCCATTGAGCTACACCAGCCAGGGCTCCCCTTCATTTCTTATCTTTAAATAAGACTTATCTCAGTGCTGCCTAGCCCTGCACCCTCTCCATCTGTTGTTGGTTCTTGCTTAAGCCCTTGAGCAATGCCCTCAGCTGCTTTGCTTTTCTTTCTCCCCAAGGTCCCTGCTGATTCTCTTTGTGGAGATTGACTACTGGGAGCGGCTGCTGTTTGAGATACCCCATTATGTGGTGAATGTAGCTGAACGTGCAGAGGACCTGCGAATTCTTCGTGAAAATCTGCTTCTTGTTGCCCGAGACTACAATAAGTAGGGCTCCAGTCCGCATGGCAGCCCTTCTGTATGCTACTTTATCCCCTGTCTTTATCTTATCTGCTTCATGGGGTTGTCCTTTTCCTATAGTGTCCATGTTTTACATTTTGTCCATCTCAAAAAAAAAACAAACAAACAAACCAGTTTCACTGCTCTCTTATGGCCCTATGCTTATTCCCTTGTAGTTTTGTCTTCTACTTTTTGGTCAGAGAGCAAAAACAACCAGTTTCTTTCCTACCCTGTAGGGCACCTGGGCCATATATATTGTAAGCCTGGATCACTTCTCTAGGAATGAAACTGGCATTAGGGTTATGGGCACCAAATAACATTAGATTCATTGAACCAAGGCTGTGCTAGCACACTTTCTCTTAATGCCCTTACTACTCATTTCTGGAGTGAGGCTTTGTCCTGGATTGTGTTCCGTTTTCAGCCCAATTAAAGTCCAAGGGAGCAGATCCAGCAGTCTTTTTTTGAGTGTCTAGAACTGAACTATCATTATGGTAGCACTAGCAGCATGTAGCTATTACTATTTTACTTAATTAATTTAAATCAAATAAAATTTAAAAGTTCAGCTACTCATGTGCATAGGCTACATTTCCAATCCTCTATAGCCTATCATATTAGCACAGCTTATAGAACATTTTTTTCATTGTAGGATGTTTTATTGGAAAGCACTAGTCTAGAATTGTGAACTTTCTGAGTTTTGCACCAGGTTTCCTGGTGTGGAGGAGAGGTCTTCAGAGCTTGTCCCCATCAGCTACCTGTGTGCTCTTACATACACACAGGATTATTGCCATGCTGTCCCCAGATGAGCAGGCCCTGTTCAAAGAGCGTATCCGATACCTGGATAAGAAGATCCAACCTGGACTCAAGAAACTGCACTGGGCCTTAAAGGGGGCCAGTGCCTTCTTCATCACAGAGTGCCGCATACATGCCAGCAAGGTAGGCCATGGTCATCAGGCTCTAAAAGCTGAACAAAAGGCTGGTGCATGGGAAATTAATACCTGAGTTGTAGGTAGTAGTGGAGAGACTAGGAAGTAATGGGAAAGGAATTAAGTGTGCTTGGGGAAGGACCTTTTTTTTTGTCAGCAACTGTAGGTAGAGGATAGGTAGGAAGATCAAATTAGGCCCAGAGGGTCTCTTCCCAAGCTGAATCCTCACCCCATGGTGGCGGGGGGTCTGAGTCCAGGTACAGGCGATTGTGAATGAGTTCAAGGCATCCACTCTGACCATTGGCTGGCGAGCCCAAGAGATATCAGAGACACTGTTGATACGCATTAGCAGCAAACGAGTATACAGGGACCTGGAATTTGAGGAGGACCAAAGAGAGCATCGAGCAACTGTGCAGCAGAAGTTGCTGAGCCTGCACCAGGATGTGGTAGCCATCATGACCAACTCTTATGAAGTCTTCAAGAATGATGGCCCTGAGGTAGGGCTCCTGTGGCCAGGGCTTTGTGGTTGGGGAAGCCCTCAGCCCTCCAGTCCCATCAGATAGCTCTCTTGATTTTTTTTTTTTAATTCCCTCAGTGTGTGCTTCTGAAACACCCTGCTCTATTATTGGATTTGCCCAACCTTCAGTCTTTCACACCTTCTTCCTTCAGGACTCAGAGTCCTGTCTTTCTATTTAACCAGCCTGTTCCCATCCCTGTTGGCTGGACCTGCCCTGTCTTCCCTGATGGTTCTCTTTCCCTTCCCTCTTCCTACCAGATTCAGCAGCAGTGGATGCTGTACATGATTCGATTGGACCGCATAATGGAGGATGCCCTGCGTCTGAATGTGAAGTGGTCACTATTGGAACTGTCTAAAGCTATCAATGGGGATGGAAAGACCACTCCAAACCCACTCTTCCGAGTCCTTGTAACTTTGCAGAATGACATGCAGGGAGGTGTAGCACAGGTGGGGATCACTTTGCTGTTGACACCCGAAAACCATTCATACTTTATTTGCTAGTCTCCCTCAATCCTTAAACTTGACTCTTAGCCTTGACTTTATCCTATGGCCCCCGGACCTGGTTCTGAGTTGCTCAACCTTACTGGTGCTTAGGTCTATCTCCTAAGGCTCTCTCAACTGTGTTCCCACAGGTGGAATTCTCACCCACTCTGCAGACTCTGGCAAGTGTGGTCAATGACATTGGCAACCACCTTTTTTCCACCATCTCTGTCTTCCGCCACCTCCCAGAAATTCTCTCCAAGCGCAAGTTTCATCGTGACCCCATCCATACAACTGTGGGTGAGTAGGCAATGCAGAAGGCATCTGATGCAGGGGTATCAGAGGGTTAGGAGTGAACAGAGCTAGGAAGAGAGACCAGGGCTGTTTTTAGACACACTGGGCCAGTCATTTCCAATATGGGTGAAAAAATGCAGGTCAAGGGGCTGGACTGGAGAAGGGGGCAAAGGCAGGGATGAAGGTCAAAATTAGGTAACTGATACTCAAAGAATTTGGGATTTGGGGTAGGAGATTAAGAAGGACAAGTCTGAGAGTGGGGCTGGCATATAACATGTCCAGATACCAACAGGTGATATATCTGAATCCCACAGATTACATTCATACTTTACTTTTACTTTCTGCCTCCTCCTTTATTTTTGAATGCTCATGTTTGAGTCTTATTTCTTAGGGGAGGTGGTATTGGAATAGGGGATCTGGGGGCAGTGGCCAGTGGCCAGGCTGGAGCTTGAGTTGAAGTGATAGTTAATGAAAAGCATTTTGCTGGGTTATGAAGAGCGAGATGAGGACATCAAGAAGATCCAGGCCCAGATCAGCAGCGGTATGACCAGTAATGCAAGCCTGCTGCAGAACTACCTCAAAACCTGGGATATGTATCGGGAGATCTGGGAGATCAACAAGGACTCTTTTATTCGTCGCTATCAGCGCCTCAACCCCCCTGTCTCTTCTTTTGATGCCGACATTGCCCGGTAAGGAGGACAGGTGGATGTGCAGGTCTGTCTGTAAGAGGTCTAGAATCTCAGGAGGCATTCCAGGTCTAGAGACTCAGGAAGGAAGGTTGGGAGTAAGGAGAGGTACAGAAAGTGTGTCCTCAAATAAAGGAAAAGAACAGGACCCTAGGGCATTGGACCTTTGTTTCTCAGCCATTGAGGTCTGATAAGAGCTGGACAAGATTTAGGGAGAAAGCTGTTTTGGTGAGGAGTACCCACAGGGTTTTATTGGAAAGGAAGAAATGCTTAGGATATAAAGGATGAGAGAAGTGAACACTTTTAATTTTAAGAAGGTAGATTGGAATTAAATTTAAAAAGATGCTTAAGTTCTGAAGGCAGGGAAAGAGCTCCCATCTCTTTGTCCTCTGGTTGTTCATTCATTTGTTAAATAAACACCATTGTCCTATGGGTCCATGAGGAATCAAAAGAAGAAATGAACAAGTGTTTTTCTCCTGAGGGCAATAGTGTAGTAGGGAAGATGGAAGAGCGGTGGTGGGGCACCTTGAGAATGGCTGAAACCCCAGCTCTACCACTTCCTAGCTGTGTAATTTTAGACAAGTTACCTAGATTCTCTGGGCCTCAGTCTCTTGTGAAACAGATATGACACCACCTCCCTTGTAAGGTTGCGAGATTATTAAATATATGTGAAAGCACTTTGTAAACTCTAAAGTACTGCTCTAATATACCTATTATTGCAGCAGCTTCAAATGTAAAAATGCTATGACTAAGGTTTATAAGGTACCAGGTCAGTTTAATGGAAGGAGAGAGAATTTTCAGCCAGGGGCATTAGGAAAGGCTTTGTGAAGGGAGTGACATTGGGGCTGGACTTTATGGAATAGGTAGGATTTCAAGAGGCAGGGACGGGCAGTGGGATGGCATTCCAGGTAGAGAAAATAGCGTAAGCAAAGGCATAAAGATGGGAATACATAAGCATGATCACCAAATAGTGAGTAGTCTGGAACATAGGTATAGGAAAGGGAGGATGCAAAGGGATTTATATACAACAAGCAACTTCATTCTCTCAACAGCCTCGTGATGTAAGGTTGATTATTATCATCATGTTACAGATGAGGAAACTGAGGCTTCCAACAGTTAAATAATCTGCCTTAAGTCACAGAGCTAGTGAACAGGAGTGGGAACTCAACCCTGGTCTATGTAACTCTAAAGCCTTGAATGCCAGACCAAGGAGTCTGATAGTTATCCTGTAGACAGTGGTTGGGAAAATGACATGATCACAGCTGTATGCCTGAGAGGTTCTGAAATGAGAGACACCTTGGAGTAGAAGAATACTTTAGAGCTGCTGCACAGGTCTGGGTGGTAGGGAATGAGAACTTGAACTAGCATCAGGGCAGTGGTCATGTCTGCAAAGAAAAAACATCTTAGCAGGAATATGGGCCTTTCAGCTACACCGAGGTTGCTAATAACGTGCAGAAGGAGGAGACAGTCCTCAATATCCAGTTTGTGTTGCTGGACTGCTCAAATCTCAAGTTCTCGCTGGTGCAGCACTGCAACGAGTGGCAGAACAAGTTCACGACTCTGCTCAAGGAGATGGCAGCCCGGCGCCTCCTGGAGCTGCACACCTACCTGAAGGAGAATGCGGAGAAGTATGGGCACGGGCTCTAGGCACAGGCGTGGGGAGAGCAGGCCCTATCCCATCTACTTACCTGTGCTCTCTTTATCTGACTTTAGAATAAGCCATCCTCCGCAGACACTGGAGGAACTGGGGATCAGTTTGCAACTCATGGATACCCTGCAGCATGACTTGCCCAACCTGGAGACCCAGATTCCTCCCATCCATGAGCAATTTGCCATTCTTGAGAAGTACGAGGTGTCAGTTCAGGACAGTGTGAGTTCCAGTGGTGTTTGGTCCACCCAAAGTGAGCCCATGCTAGCAGCAGGTTGTGCGGGAAGCTAATTTCCCAAGTAGAAGACCCCAGTGCTGTCAAGAGGGAGAGCAGAGAAGTGAGGCAGGGAGAAGGCTCAAGGTTCAAAAGCCTCTGAGAGCCAAAGCTAACTCAAATGATATTTCTGGTTAGTTTATGGATTTCTTGTAGGTCCAGCAATTCACTGCTTGATTTCTTTGGGCCTCTTTGCATGTAGAAGTTGGCCACACATTCTGCTCTGGAGGATCAGAGTTTTGGTGAGAAGGACAGAACTTCTGCTCATGGGTCACATCCCCATATGATGTCCCCAGGTACTGGAGATGCTGGACAGTCTCAATGGAGAGTGGGTCCTCTTCCAACAAACTCTGTTGGACAGTGAACAGATGCTGAAGAAATACAAGGAGAAATTCAAGACAAGCCTCATTCACTCAGCTGATGATTTCAAGAAGAAAGCACATCATCTTCTGGAAGAATTTGATGCCAAAGGTACTCTTTTTTGAAATCTCTCACTCTTCTTTACCACTGTTTTGACTCACTCTTTCACAGTCTACAGTCTAGGAAGGTGCAAACAAGGATGAGAGGAGGAAGGACTGTACTGGGGCAGACAAGGAGCAGGGGCACTTCTGTCAGCAACCCAACCGTTGCCTCTGACTTTTGGTCAAAAGGCAGCAGCCCAGCTCTCATTTCCGGTTTTCTCATACCCACCTCCTGAGTTCCACCTGTTCCTGATTCTCAAGCCACGTTTAGTCATTTTGAGATTACTGATCATTCTTTCAGTGCACTTTCTCCTATTTTCTTTTCCTTCCCTCTCTCACATGAGGAAGAAGTGAGATTTACCTACAAAGAGGTCTGAGAGGGATGACAGTCCTTTCAGAGGACTATGGCCTCGAGTGGAAACTGAGCTTCGTCCTGGACTTTCCACAGGCCCCTTCACCAGTAATGTGGGACACCAGGCTGCTCTAGACCAGATTGCCCAAGTACGGGCCATGCTGAATGCCATGCGGGAGGAAGAAAATAGTCTCCGTGCCAACTTGGGCATCTTCAAGATTGAGCAGCCGGCCTCCAAGGACTTGCAGAACCTGGAGAAGGTGGGGTGCTGAGCTAGGTCCTCGTGGTAACCAAAGAGAGGGGACAAGGGATAGGTGAATGCCTGGAAAAACAGCTGGGACTAGGAAGATGGGTGCACAAGGAATTTTTAAAGAAAAAATTAATGTAAAATTTAGATAACAAAATAACCACTTTAAAGTGAACAATTCCGTGGCATTTCATACATTCACGGTATTGTGTATCTACCACCTCTATTTTCAAAACATTTTCATCACCCTGAAAGGAAACCCTCTGCCCGTTAGCAGCCATTCCCCATCCCCCCTCTCCCCAGCCCTTGTTGGCCACTGATTTATTCTCCGTGTGCATGGATTTACCTATTCTGGCCATTTCACATAAATGGAATCACCCAAATATGTGGCTTTGTATCTGGCTTTTTTCATTTAGCATAATGTTTTCAAGGTTCATCATGTTGTAGTATGTATCAATACTTCATCCCTTTTTATGGCTGAATAACACTTTATTGTATGAATTTACCGCATGTTGTTTATCCATTAACAAGTTGGTGGACATTTGGGTTTTTCCACCTTTCAGCTAATGTGACTAGTGCTGCATGAACATGTGTGTACTTGTATTTGTTTGAGTCTCTCTTCTCAACTCTTGTGGGTATGTACCTAGCAGTGGAATTGTTGTATCATATAATCTATGTTTAACTTTTTTTGAGGACTCGCCAAGCTATTTTCCACAGCAGTTGTACCACTTTACACTCTCACTAGCAATATACAAGCCTCCCCCCCCCCACTCCCGATTTTTTGGTTCTAGCCATTATGGTGAAGTCAATTTCACTGTGGTTTTGATTTGCATGTCCCTACTGACTAATGATACTGAGGATCCTTTCATGTTTTTGTTACTTAAGGGGATCCTAAGACAAGAGTATGGAGAAGTAAATCCAAACTGAGGAGGCAGCTCTACTGGCTGGAGGGAGAAGCTTCTCAAATGAGAGGAGCAAAGACCCTGGATTACTAAATGCATCTTTCTGCAAGTTACTAAACGCATCTTTCTGTTTTCTGCCATCAAGGAGCTTGATGCACTCCAACAAGTGTGGGAGATCACAAGGGACTGGGAGGAGAACTGGAACCAGTGGAAGACTGGCCGGTTCCTGACCCTGCAGACGGAGGCCATGGAGGCCATGGCCCATGGGCTGTTCCGTCGCCTCACAAGACTAGCCAAAGAGTATAAGGTGTGTGGAGAGAGGAGTGGGAGGAAGAAGATTAGCACTTGAGGAAGGAGAACTGTGTGGGAAGATTGTCAACTCTTCTAAATCTACACTTTTGCTCAGGATCGAAACTGGGAAATTATTGAAAGCACTCGATCAAAAATCGAGCAGTTCAAGAGGACCATGCCTCTCATCTCAGACCTGCGAAACCCTGCCCTTAGAGAGAGGTAAGTCTGCTCCCCTGCTCCTGGGGTGACCCCCTGGCCTGTGCTGTCATCTGGGTCTTTCAACTGTTCCCTCCATGGTAATCATGATTCCTGCCCCTCTGTCCACAAACGCACGTCTGGAAGAAGGCTTCACTAGGGCCTGCCACTGTCCCTCTGTTTCTCGCACTGTCCGGGTTCTCTTGTCTTTCTGGATCCTTCTCTGCTTCCTTTCCCCTCTGTGTCCTCTCATTTTATGTTGTCTGTCATAGCTAAGCTTTACGCCTTCTGTCATACAAAAGTTTTTTCTTTTGATGTAGCCAAAAGTATAACTTTCTTCCTTTATGTTTTTTGCTTCTGTGCCTTGTTTAAGACCTCTCCTACCCCAGAGTTATAAATGTGTTTTCTCCAACTTTTTTCTAATTCTTTATAATTTTGTTTTTTTCAAGTTTAACTCTTTTAACACATCTGGAATTTATTATATGGTAGAAAAGTCCTTTGAAACCATTGAGGATAGAATAAACTATTTTATAAGTGGGGTTTTAATATTAATTATTTATTTAGGAAGAAATTGTTTTACTTATTTTGCATTGCCCTCCATGTTTTACCATTAAATATTATGTGGTTAAATATAACCTGACCACTTTATTTGCCTAAAGTGGCAAATAAACCTCTCTAACCTGTTTCTTCTAAATTAGGTTAACCTAATTTAACCTCTCTAAGTCTCAGTTTCTTCATATATAAATGGAATGACAATGATTCCTCATTTACAGAGGGGTTGTGAGAACTAAGTGAGATGTTTCATGTACAGCATTTAGCCCAGCATATATATATAATCTACAGTAAGCTTGCAGTAATCTGTCTTAACTCCCTCTCCAAAGAACCTGCACCTCAATCTCTGTATTCCTCACAGTGCCTAAGATTGTATCTTGGAGTCTATTTAGTAAATGTGGAATCATGAATAAATAAATACATAGAATCATAATATCCCAATGGGAGAAAGTCCGGGGAGTGATGCTAATACTTTCCAGTAGGCCCTGGTGTCCAGCCTCCTAAACTAACCTTCTGCCCCTGGCTGCAGGCACTGGGATCAGGTCAGGGATGAGGTCCAGTGGGAGTTTGATCAGGAATCTGAAAATTTCACCCTGGAGCAGATTGTGGAGCTTGGGATGGATCAACATGTGGAGAAAATTGGGGAGATCTCGGCCTCAGCAACCAAAGAACTGGCTATAGAATTGGTATGACAGAATTCTCTTCTATACTCCCCCACTTCCTAAGCCTGGGACAAAGGCTTCCAGGTTTTCATCATCTGATGGTATCTCACAGCTCCTATTCCCCTTGAGGATTAAATATCTGACTGCTCTGTTCCCCAATTTCTTTCCACAGGCATTACAAAACATTGCTAAGACTTGGGATGTGATTCAGCTAGATGTAGTACCCTACAAGGATAAGGGCCATCACCGACTCAGGTAGGAAAGGTTTTAGGGAGCTAGGAGAGGGGAGTGCTGCATGACCCAGGCTCTGGAGAGGGGACCAAAGATTGGCAAATGGGGGAGGAATATGATTTTGATGCTTTCCTCCTCAGAGGTACAGAGGAGGTATTCCAGGCACTGGAAGATAACCAGGTGTCTATATCCACCATGAAGGCATCTCGTTTTGTCAAGGCCTTTGAGAAGGATGTGGACCACTGGGAACGCTGCCTCTCCCTCATTTTGGAAGTTATTGAGATGCTGCTCACAGTACAGCGTCAGTGGATGTACCTAGAGGTCAAGACTCACTACCTGAGCTCCTCCTACACCTTGTTTTTACTCCTTTATTTGCATAGGACCTAATATTTGCCCCATTATCAGCATCCTTTTCCCACCTCTGGAGTTATTCTTCATTTGGGATCTGAGCATTAGTTATTACCTCTCATCAATTCGCTCCCTGAAAAGCCTTGTTCTTCTCCCATTTTTCTCCTTGGACTCAGGTGCCTGGCCTCTCTGGCCCTTTGATTCTTTTTAAAAAATATTTATTTAATTATTTTTTAGAGAGAGGGAAAGGGAGGAAGAAAGAAAGGGAGAGAAACATCCATTAGTTGTCTCTCTCATATGTCCCAAGTGGGGAGTGGGTCTGCAACCCAGGCATATGCCCTGTCCGGCAGCCTTTCACTTTTCCTGATGACACCCAACCCAAGGCTGAGCCATGCCAGCCTTGATTCTAATGCTCCTTATCTTCCATTCAACTACCACCCATAGTCTGGGAGCAAGGAGCAGCGTGTGGAGAGTATGTGAGAAACTGCCTCTCATCCAAATTCTTGGCCCTTCAGAATATCTTCCTAGGAGAAGACATCCGTAAGCAGCTGCCCAATGAATCAGCCTTATTTGACCAGGTCAACAGCAACTGGAAATCCATTATGGACCGGATAAGCAAGGACAACAATGCTCTCCGGAGTACCCACCATCCAGGTCTGAGCTCCCTGGCCTCTTGTCCTGATGCAGCCTCAGCTGGTGCTATACATATGTGAAGTCATGGCCACATGCTTCATTTATTGAAGGATGACTATTGTACCTGCCTGTCACATCATCTTATAATCATTAAATAATAGTTCAGCAAATTAAATTCAATAAATAGTTGAGTGGAGTATGGTATAGTGGTGAAGGGAGTGGGATATGGAATCTGATAGACTTAAGTTTAAAATTTGACTTATGCTCTTGGGTGGCTTGCTTCCTCTATACTACAGTTTCCTCCCCTGTAGTGGAGGGGGTTAATGACAACTATTTCTCAAGGTTTACAAAGCTTATAAAAGAGTATGTAACAGGGAGGGCCTGGTGTAAAGTTGGTGCTCAGTTAATAGCACTGTGTCTCAGGAAGCCCTGATTGAGGACTCACTCTTCTCTAGCTGATTCATTTAATGAGATAATGCAAGTAAATGAGATCATGCAAATAGAATACTTATCACATTAAATGGCACAGAGTAAGCCCTTGGTTACTATTTATTAGTTATTGTTATATTAATGAAATCATATGTGGTATATAATTAATGCATAATATATAACATATATAAGAGTGTATAATGAATACTTGATAGTGAATTAATGAAGAGAATGGGATAAGCATGATGGATTGACACTTCTCTGCTTCCTAAAACAATTATGGCTTTCTGTACTTCAACGTTCAAGAGCTGGTAAAGTAGATATAGTTGGAGACTCCAGGTCTACTTAGGCAGTGGTAAAAGGCCATCCAATGTGATTTATTGCTCTTCTTCCTAGGCCTCCTGGACACATTGATAGAAATGAATACAATCCTGGAAGATATTCAGAAGTCTCTGGATATGTACTTAGAGACTAAGCGCCATATTTTCCCCCGCTTCTATTTCTTGTCCAATGATGACCTCCTGGAGATTCTGGGCCAGTCTCGCAACCCAGAGGCTGTGCAGCCACACCTCAAAAAATGCTTTGACAACATCAAATTTCTAAGAATGCAGAAGGTCAGTAGAGCTGGCCATGAAGGGATGAAAGGCAGGGGAAGGATGCTGAGGTTAAGGTATTCAAGGCCTTGAAGGAGACAGTGCCCTCTCACTGGGAAGGGGATATTAATGATCTTGAATTATGTGAGATAGAACTTTTTAAAATTAGTAATGTTGGGGGGAGGGGAGAGGAGCAGAAACTACTCTCAAAGGGGCCAAATACCAAACTCAGCAGATATCAAGAGTAGGCAGGCTAGACCATTCATAGCTTCTTGTTTCTACAGGTTGGTGGACCCAGCAGCAAATGGGAAGCTGTGGGAATGTTCTCAGGTGATGGCGAGTATATTGATTTCCTCCACCCGGTACTTTTAGAAGGGCCTGTGGAGGTGAGTTATGTCAAGGGTCTAGGAATCAAGCTTATTCTTCTTTGTGTTAGGAAGTTTGCTTGGCTCTTTGAGGAGAGAACATCTCTGTGAAGGGCCATTTTTCACTTTTTACCCTCCCACTGGCCATTCCTGAAAACTATAACCTCTCACCCTGAACCTGACAATCTGTCTTCTGGCCTTCATATTCCCCAGGAGCCCAACCAGATCCTGCCCAGGTCCTACTTTCATCTTAGGCCCATCCATGCCCTGTAATTCTGTCTCTTAAGCACTTTCCCCCTGGGAACTCTTGTCTCTGGCTCTGAGACTGAGCCTTCCTGTTCTCTCACTGCTCTTCAGTCTTGGCTTGGCGATGTGGAGCGGATCATGAGGGTCACCCTACGGGAACTTCTCCGGAACTGCCGCCTGGCCCTCAAGAAGTTTCTTAACAAGAGGGACAAATGGGTGAAAGAGTGGGCTGGCCAGGTGAGCTGGAGTCCATAGAAATGAGAGAACAAGAAAGATAGAGCTGAAAAGGAGTAGCAAAGGTAAAGACAGAATCTTGAGTCTAAACATGCTGGTTTCTTGTCCCCTTGCTCTGGGATATGGCCCTGGAACCCTACATGCCAGACCCTTAGCTCCTGACCTTAGGCATCTGCTCTATCCTTAAGAGCAGATTAGCACACTGAGAGAGGAATCCTAGTCCTAGTCCTGGAAGAAGCTGATATTTGGGAGCTGGGCTGTGAGAGTGGCCAGGGACAGGGCTTTGGAATACAACCTCTGCGTGTGCTTTAGGTGGTGATCGCTGCCAGTCAGATCCAGTGGACGGCTGATGTAACCAAGTGCCTGGTGACAGCTAAGGAGCGGGGAGACAAGAAGATCCTCAAAGTCATGAAGAAGAAGCAGGTGGGGAACTCTACTAGTACAGGATAGCCCTGGAGTTAGAGTTGGAGTCAGAATTAGAGATGAGCTGGTAGGAAAGGGTCAGAGTAAGGGTGCTTTATGGGAGAAGTCCAGTGAGGAAAATTAGGGTAGAATAGAAGTACGTTTTCCTATGTTGATATTGGGGGTCCAGAGTTATAGTGGGGTTAGGGTTAGCTTTGGAGTTGAAAATTGTGATAGGCTAGAATGAAGTATGGTTGACTTTGATTGTATTGCTCCATCTGTTCTCTTTCCTACCACTTCATTCTACAGGTGTCAATACTGAATAAGTATTCAGAAGCTATCAGGGGGAACTTGACCAAGATCATGCGACTTAAAATTGTGGGTCTGGTGACCATAGAAATTCATTCTCGAGATGTGTTGGAGAAGCTTTATAAGAGTGGCCAAATAGATGTGAATTCTTTTGACTGGCTCAGCCAGTTGCGCTTCTACTGGGAGAAGGTACAGATGGGCCAGCTCCCTACTTTTGTACCCTTAACATAATCCTAATGCATTAATTAAATTCCTATTCTCTAAATACAATAATATCCTAATCCAAGCCTTAGTCCTATCACAGTGCCCTAATCTAGTTCCTAACTCTATTGCAAGTCTCTTAAATTCGGAATGGCAAACCATTTTCTAGTCAGTGTTCGCTGTGAGTGTCACTTGACTGGAACTCAGGAAGATTTCAAGCAGCTGCTGCAATGAATTGGGGTGGACATGCAATGTGAACTCATTTTCACCTTGGTCATCAAGTCTTTGCCTCTTTTAACTCTAAATGGAACCCCTCATCTTATAACCGTGACCTCTTCGCCATCTCCAGCCCTACTACTATCTATCATTGCCCAGCTCTACCATTCTTTCTTTAAGCCCACCTCTCTCTTACTCTGCCCTGTTTCTCCAGGATCTCGATGACTGTATGATCCGGCAGACCAACACACAATTCCAGTATGGTTATGAATACTTGGGTAACTCTGGCCGTCTTGTCATCACCCCCTTGACAGACAGGTCAGCTGTGTGGAATGAGCAAGATGGTTGGGGTGGGGTAGCAACTGTTGAGTGAAGGCTTCCAGAAGCCTGACTTGAGTCCTGTCTTATATTCTCAGGTGTTACATAACACTGACCACAGCATTGCACCTGCATCGCGGGGGTTCCCCCAAAGGTCCAGCAGGCACGGGAAAGACGGAAACTGTCAAGGACCTGGGCAAGGCCCTTGGCATGTATGTCATCGTGGTCAACTGTTCTGAGGGCCTGGACTTTAAGTCCATGGGCCGAATGTACTCAGGCCTGGCCCAGGTCAGCATCCTGCCACCCTATCCCAGTGGCCCCTTAAATATCTTTAGTCCCAGAAAATCAACTGGAACCCAAATTTGGTTCAGTGCTTTGTAACTTATAACTTTCATCTCCTCAGTTACTTCTTAAAATTGGTTAGTCCCTGCAACTCCATGAAATGCACTTTGCTTATTTGCAAAATCTGAAGATTATGTAAGGATTAAATAAATCAATGCATGTAAACTGGTGCATAGTGTAGGCACTCAGTGCTCAAAGGTTCTCTACCCTGGTCTCTTTCAAACTCACATCTTTTCTAGTATTCCCCCAGATTGTCCCTGTCTGATGGAAAGCTCTGGTCAGAAACTACAACAGTGCTATACTGGGCTCCCCTCAACACCCCACCCCCAACATTCTGGAGGCCACCTTGCCTATCAAAATAGTTCCAGCAGTGCTGTATTAGTCACATTTCCTAGTTTCTCTCAACCTGGGGTATTCTCTTACTGCCAGTGAATCTGTCTCCCACCCTACAGACGGGTGCTTGGGGCTGCTTTGATGAGTTTAACCGCATCAACATTGAGGTGCTGTCGGTGGTGGCCCAGCAGATCCTGTCAATCCTATCCGCCCTGGCTGCCAACCTCACCCGCTTCTATTTTGAGGGCTTTGAAATAAATTTGGTGTGGTCCTGTGGGATCTTCATCACCATGAATCCTGGTAAGGGCCAGGGAGTGGATGGAGCTTGGGGCGGTGGGGGCAGAGGAGAACTGGGTATCCAAGGCAAACAGTTGTGTCCTCCCCTTCCCACTGCTAGGTCTGTGTATTTAGCCAAGTGAAATGTGGCTAAAGACAGCAAAGTATGAAAGAAGAATAAACATACAACTTTCTGGAAGAAGAGAGGCATCTTACTGCTCTCCCTAAAGGCATTAATAACCACCATGTGAATGCAGGGTAGGACAAAAGAAGGTTTACGGTTGTATGTGAAACACAGAGTTTATTTTTGTATTATTATTTATTAATTACTCTTATCTTCCATATGAACAACTGCAAACCTACTTTTGCCCCACTCTGTATATGTAGCCTTAGCCTTTGAAAGTACTTAATTATCTTCTCCCATAGGGCTAGCAGTTCCTAGAGTTCTGTTCTATCTGCCATCCCTTTTGAGAATGGGAGAATCTCCCTAAAGCGCAGGCACTAGGGTAGGGTCTCTTATTACTGTTACCTAGAAATAGCTCTGTGGGAAGGGTCTAGGAGAAAACAGAAAAGGGTTTAGGTACTGAAAGAATCAGAGAAACAGCTGTGATTTCTGTTAGGACTGACTTTATATTGCATGTGTGGAACTTGGAGAGATGGGAAATTGGCAGCTCTACCATAAGCCCATGCAGAAAGTAAGGAAATGCCCAGGGATAGGAAAGAGGAGCAAATTGGTATGGGAGGAGCCAGGGCCAAGATGCAGACGGAATAGATCTTAGAGCTGGAGTTGGAGAGAAAGTTAGAGATGGAGCTAGGCTGGGGAAAATGAGATTGATTGGGAAGTGGATCTTTGGGAGCAGTCCAGATTCTAAACAAATGGCTCTGTTTTGCAGGCTATGCTGGTCGTACAGAACTTCCTGAAAATCTTAAATCCATGTTCCGTCCAATTGCCATGGTGGTGCCTGATTCAACTCTTATTGCAGAAATCGTTCTCTTTGGGGAGGGCTTTGGCAACTGCAGGGTATTCTGATAATCCCTTTTTTCCCCCAATTATTTTATTTCCCTTCCATGATTATTCCCTGGACAGAGGAACACCATGAAGGCCCCAAGTCAGTTTATCCTGTAGGGAGCATACTGTCAGTAGGATATGGAGGCAGAAGTATTCAGAGGTCTCTCCTCTACGATGTCACAAGTCCATGATGGTAGGATTGACAAGGTCTTCTCATTAGGATTTTCCATAGAGCAACTCCCAGCTGCCTCAAGTCCTGGCACCTAGCTTCTTGTATTTGTAACTATCCCTAGATGAAGCAAAGGGAGTTGTGGAGAAATAAGTTGTTTCCTCCTCTGTTTTCATTCCTCAGATTCTGGCTAAGAAGGTATACACACTTTACTCCCTGGCTGTGCAGCAGCTCTCCAGACAGGACCATTATGACTTTGGCCTACGTGCCCTCACGTCCCTTCTGCGCTATGCTGGCAAGAAGCGCCGCTTGCAGCCAGATCTGTCTGATGAAGAGGTAGATCAAGGACATAGCTCTGGAACCTTAACCTCCACTGTCACTGGTCCTATGTGTTTTCACTAAAGTTTTCAGATCCTTTCTTTCCCCAGATTGGGATCCCCACCTTTCTTCCTGTCCCCTGTGTTGCCTGAGTTTTACCTGTCATATTTTTAAAGACCAGCTTAGGTATATCCATTGTTCTTGGCTCTTGCGCCTCATCCTTTGCAGAGGAAAGGCCTAGTGAGTACCTAGGCCCTAGCTCCTCCAGGCCAAGTCTCTGTCTTTCCCCATCTAGGTTTTGCTGCTATCAATGAGGGATATGAACATTGCCAAGCTAACTTCAGTCGACACACCACTATTCAATGCCATCATGCAAGATCTATTTCCCAGCATTGAGCTGCCTGTCATTGATTATGGCAAGGTATTTTTTCCTTAATACTCTTCCTGACCTCGTATGTGAATGTAGATCTGGGAACATGACACTTAGCTCCCAGGCCTTGTTCTGCCATTCACTAGCTGTGACTTTGAGCAAAACAGTTGGCTTCTTTTGGGCTTCCTTATCTATAAAATGATATAGACCTATACAAACATTCTACTCTCTCACCACAACTCCCTACTTCTCTCCCAGCCCGCAACTTACTGGCTCAAGTACTTCCACTCATTGCTTCTTTGACTTCACTGAGATCTCTGATCTACTGGCCTTTCTACTCTCTATTCCCATTTGCTCTCTCTTCCCTCTACTTCTCTTCTCATTTAGGGAGTTTTGAGGAGAGACTGCTAGGAACTGTGTGATATGGGAGAGCAGTGGAATGAAAGGGGGTGGAGGAGGAGGATTTTAGAAAGTACAGGAATTTTTTCTCTGGCTGTGTTAGTTTAGGTACCCTAAATTACCCTTTCTATTGAAACCACTAAAATGCTAGATAAAAATATAAAAATGCATATTTTAAATGTATTGCTAAACTGGAAAGAAAGAATTCTGGGGTAGGAAGGGGAAATAAGAGCAGGGAGATCAGTGAGTGTAAAAGCTGGCTTTCTCCCTGAAAATTTTTGTTGAATTTAAGGTACTTGAGAGAGAAGATAAAGTAACCCAAGTTTGAGGTACAATAGGAAAGCCAGTACTGCATAAACTTCAGTCTGCAAGGGAAAATATCCTCAGTAAATGGGAAAATGAGAAACTCACCATTGAAAAGGGTACATACAATAAAGAAACTTGCTTGTGTTGACAGATGATGGGGAGAGGGGCTAAAATTTTTTAGATTTCCTAACCACAAGTCAGCCCTTACATGGTCCAGGGTGCTAATTTATTTTACTGTATAATCCCAAAACTCTCAAATTTAAAGCTTAATTTTAAGTAGTTCCTGACTGCTAGCTTCCCCCAGGTGACTGGAGGAAGCAAATGCAAATTAATTCTAGAAGAGGAAATTTCAACTTAAGCCTCAAAGAATTATAATAAAAATTTAAGATAGAAGTCCAATAAAATGAGCAGCTCCTGGTCCTAAGTCACAAAACACACAAGGGAACACAATAGCATGAATGGAAAACAGAGGAACAACAGAATAACAGAATCAAATCCCTAAAGACTTCAGATATTGAAAATGATCAGCACAGAATTTAAAAATAACTAAATTTAATATGTTTAAAGAAATAAAAGAGAAGCTTGAAACTATGAGCCAGAAACAAGAGACTTCTAAATTAAGTAGACGTGAAAAAGAACCAATAGAATTTCTATAAATGGAAAAATATTACAATTGAAATTTTAAACAATAGTTCAATATATAGAGCACTTGTAGGTAAAGAAAGTGGATTAAAAACAATTTTGTTACCTTTTGAAAATCCACTATAATACTCTAAAGAGATTTTTATTTTTCTAAAGACTTTATTTATTTATTTTTAGAGAAAGGGAGGGAAAAAGAGAGGAAAACATCAATGTGTGGTTGCCTCTCATGCACCCCCAACTTGGGGACCTGGCCTGCAACCCAGGAATGTGCCCCTACTGGGAATCAAACCAGTGACCCTTTGGTTCTCAGGCTGATACTTGATCCATGGAGCCACATCAGCCAGGGCTAAAGAGATTTTTTAAATAAGGTATCTATATCCAAAACGATGGGGAGAATGGAAGAAATAGAACACAAATTTTAGACATAAGAAACAAATGAATAAGTCATGCCTTTGCAAACCTGAGAGGGCTGGAGGTGGGAAAAAGTGAGAGACAGTTCTCAAAAGGCCAAACATTTGTGGAATTAGATTCCTTTGTGAGTAAGAAATAAAGGAAGTATAGCTACAATAAGAAGGATTGGAGGCAAACTGTCTTGGAAGATCTCTAGATCTTCCCTTCTCAGTGATCCCAAATGACTCTCTCTCCCACCATGGCAGAAGACTAGAGGGTAAACTAGTAGGTGTCTGGACTGGGGGACACTGGAATAGCTGAGGGCATGAGTAAATCCCATTAAAAATGGGGATTAAGTGAATATTTACACATTGATTGCTGAGACTGTCTTCTTTCATCTCTCAGCTCCCAGAATACTGGCAGCAAGACAGGAAATTGGAAGAGTTTTCTCTGGGGAATCTGTCTAGTCTAAAAGGAATGACCAAAATAGGGAGAACAGTGATTTCCCAGTGAAAGTCCTAGATAAATCATCTACAGGGGTACTCATAGTCTATAAGCCCCACTCACACTCAGGGCTTTCGTTTAGTTCTTCACCCATGTATGTGAGCAGAAAACCAGGGATTGCCACATATTTGAGGAAAGCCTCTGCCAGAAAGCAGCCAAAACAAGTAGGAAAAAGCAAGTTGGAGAAAAGAGATAATACAGAGAAAGAAAAGGTTTTCTTTTTTTAAATCACTGTATTATCAGAGATAAGATTAAGATAGTATCTCCATGAAATACTATGAAAAAAGAAATATTCCAGAAAATAGAGCAAAGGGAAAAAGAGATAAGATTCAAAAGCCAGTCAGAAAGATCAATATAATATAATCTCTTATTATAGCCAAATAATAGGAGTTCCAAAAAGTAAGAACAGAGGAAATGGAGGAGGGGACAGGATTGACAGTGAAACAATTCAAGAAGAATCCTTAGAACCAAAAGATCTGTTTCCAAAATGAAAGGATCCACGAATGCATGACACAGTGGATAAGATAAATCCTTAACAATGCTCATCATTGTGAAATTTTAAAACATCAGGACAAGGAGAAGACTTAACAAGCTTCTCCAGAGAGAGGAAAAAAAAAAGACATAACATGCAAAAGATCAAGAGTTTAAATGTTGGACTTCTCAGTAGCAATATTGAACCTATAAACAATGGAGCAGCCTTCAACTCCATTCTCAAGGAAATTATTTGCAACTTCAAATTCTATTCCTAGGCAACCTGTCACATAGGATGCTAGATAAGAGATATTTCAGACGTGCAGACTCTCAAAAAATACTACATCCAATATATGCTTTCTGAGAAAGTTAGTAGAAGGTGTGTTCTACCGAAATGCAGGCACATCCCAAGAAAGGAAAATAGAGGACACAGGATGATGGCTGTGCATCTGATGGAGAGAAGCTGCTCCAGTTCGGAGTAAATCCAAGTGCTTCAGGAGGACTTCTGAAAGAAGAAATTCATACCTCATGTGAATACATGTTTTGAGAGATTTAGTTAACTGGCAGAGTTTGAAGTTGAGTTAGAGATCAGTATGTTAAAAATGAAGCAAACAAAAGACAGCAACTATTAGCCTGTAGGGGAAAAAACTGTTCAAGGGAAAATAATCATACATTAAATAGTACACAATGTTATACTAATCTTTCATTGTTTAGAAGAGACACAACTAAAGTATAAAGACAAAGGGATGAGAGTCAAAGAATATAAAAAGATATCTCAGGTAAATACTAATCAGAAGAAAGCTAGGTAGCAATATAAGACGATATAGATTTTTTAAAAATTTATTTTTAGAGAGAGGGGAAAGGAAGGAGAAAGAGAGGGAGAGAAACATCCATGAGTGGTTGCCTCTCATGCAACAACCACCAGGGACCTGGTCCATAACCCAGGCATGTGCCCTGATCAGGAATCAACTGGCAACCCATTGGTTCACAGGCCGGCACTCAATCCATTGAGCTATACCAGCCATGACTAGACAGCATAGATTTTAAGGCAAAAAGCATTACTAGAAATAAAAAGGGTCACTTAATAAAAAAGGTTCAACTTACCAGGAAGATAAAACAATTCTAAATTTAGAGGCACCTAAAAATATAGCCTCAAAAGAAATAGAGCAAAATTTTACAGAATTACAAAGAGAAATAGACAAATGTAGCATTGTAGTGGAAGTCTTAACATCTTCCAGTAATTAATAGGCCAAGCTGACTAAAAATCAGGATATAGAAGATTTGAACAACACAATCTTGATTTAATAAACATCTGTAGCAGTTGCATTCAATAATTGAAGAATACTAATTTTTTCCAATCCCATATAGAATATTTAGGAGGTTGACCATGTAAAGGCTATGGAATTTTTATTTAAAACATTTTCTGATCACAGTCATAATTCTACTGATATCAGGTGAAGTTGCCTTTCTGGCAATTAGAATATTAAAGATACAGGGAGACATTTCATAATGATAAAAGGGTCCATGTCCCCAAAGATATAACAATTCTAAATTTATATATACTTAATAATATAACTATAAAATAGATAAAACAAGATTGACAGAACTAAAAGGAGAAGTTGATAAAAATCACAGTCCTTATGAGAAATCTTTATATACTTCTCTCAGCCAAAATTGATGAAGCAAGCAGATCAAAAAATCCATAAAGATACAGAACGGAATGCTTTTAACAGATTTGACTTGACACATACAGAACATTTTATACAACAACTGCAGTAATATAACCTCAAGTATGCATGGACCTTTTACCAAAACTGACTATGTGCTGATTATTAAGTATAGGTCTCATAAATTTCAAATGATTGAAAAGTATACAGAGCATGATCTCTGACCATGATAGAGTTGAACTAGGGATCAATAACAAAATATAATTTTAAAAGCCCAAATGTTTGGAAATTAGGCAATATAATTCTAAAAAACTCATGGGTCAAAGAAGGAATTAGAAAATATTTAAAACAGAATAAAAGGAAAAAGTGACACCTTAAACTTGTGGCAGGATGCTAAACATGCATACACGTATCTAACGGTGGAGCAGAGGTATAATGGCCACAGCCAGGGGAGGGTAATCTTAAGATTAAAAAACAAAGCAGGCAACAACCCAGATAGTGGAAGGAAGTGGTAGTGGTGAGGCCTCTTGGTGGTATTGGAGAGATACAAGTAAAGATCTTGCCTCTGTTTGAAATTATTTGGTTGCATTGGCTGCATGTTTAAAAATGTCAGTATTCTGGGACTGATCCATTATGGTCATGGTTCTGTAAGCATTTTTATCTTAGGTGATGATTTGCTCGATGTCTAGTTCTCCTACCAGACTGTGAGCTCTGAAGTAGAATGAACTCTCCTTTGTTCTCACTACCCAACACTCTGCTTGGCACATACTATAGAGGCTTAATAAATATTCGTTGAATAATATTAGAAAAATGTGTCCAGCGCATATCAGACATTGTGTTTTATGCTGACTATTTTATCTAATACAACAACCGTATGAGAAGAGTTACTGTCATTACTCCTATTTAACAGATGAAGGAACAGAGACTCAGAGAGGTGACTTATGTTCACATGGCTGAAAGCTGGGGACCCAGGCTGGCTGACTGCAGAGCCCACTCTCTTGACTCTGCCATTGGTCAGCTTCCCAGGGAATAAACAATTGCCAGAGTGCAAAGGGTTCTGCTGCTATTTTTTTACCAGTTGGAACCTTATCTTCCAAAGGCATTGGGGAGATTTGAAAGTCCATTGCAGTCCTCTTTCTTTGTCTTCTACTTCCTGTATTTCCCCTTCTCTTAGCTGCAGGAGACCATCGAACATGAGATTCGAGAAATGGGCCTGCAGATTACACCATTCACCCTCACCAAAGTCATCCAGTTGTATGAAACCAAGAGCTCCCGCCACTCCACCATGATCGTGGGCTGTACAGGCAGCAGCAAGACTACGGCATGGCGAATTCTCCAGTCCTCCTTGTCCTCCCTGTGCCGCGCTGGAGACCCCAACTTCAACATCGTTAGAGTATGGGGTTGGGAACTTGAAGTCACTGGCGGAGATTTGAGTAGGAGGAAGACGGTGGAGGCTGGGGGCAGGGATGCATAGGTGTCGAGAGGGTGGTACAGGCCAGCAGGTAGTGCCTGGGTCCAAGGAGGCCTGGGAGAGATGAGGGAGAGAAGGACAAATTCAAATCCCTGGATTTAAGGGAGCTCTTAGGATTTGTGTCTGCCAGCAGCTCAAAACCCCTTTCTGTGTCATTTTTAGGAGTTTCCTCTGAACCCAAAGGCATTGTCCCTAGGGGAGCTGTATGGGGAATATGACCTTAACACTAATGAATGGACAGATGGCATCCTATCCAGCGTCATGCGGATGGCATGTGCAGGTACCCAAAGGATCGTGAGGTGCGGAGAGCAGATGCCTCAGTCTCCTGTGGGGTGGGCATTCTGGGTATAGAAAGCTCAATTTGGGAGAAAAGTGCTTGGATAATGCTGAAGTACAAGGATGCATGGGCTGATATCTGTGAGCAGATGAGTGTGGAGGGCCCTAGGTTCGAAAGCTGTAGCTTTCTTATTACCCACCTTCTACCAAGATGAGAAACCAGATGAGAAGTGGATCCTTTTTGATGGCCCTGTGGACACTCTGTGGATTGAGAGCATGAACTCTGTCATGGACGACAACAAGGTGTTGACCCTCATCAATGGAGAGCGCATTGCGATGCCTGAGCAGGTACAGGGGTGCCCTGACTACCGAGGCCCTGCAGATGTGGAAGCTGGAGGGCATGAGGCAGGGCTAAGGGCAAGAGCAGGGAGATCCTCAGGGAAGAGGAAGTTCTATAGCAGAACACTGAGGAGGAGGATCCCTGTATTTAGGGGAACCTGTGACTGAAGAAAAAATGCCTGTCTACCATGGCTGCGGAGAACAATAGTATGGAAAAGAACCTTGTGTACTCGGAAGTACTGTGTAAACAGGGACAGCCTTCCTCATGTTCTTTTCCACTGACGCAGGAGGGAGGCCCTTCTTCACTTGCACTTGGGATTATGAATTCATAGGCTATAAACCCCACCCTTTCCCACCCACTCAAACAATGCAAACAGGGAGAGTAACTTTTTAAATAAAGATAACCTTGAATGACCTCTAATTTCTTTTGACAAGCAAATCATTTGTAAACTTCAGGTCTCCATTCATCCTGCCACAATTGGTACTTAGCAGAGACATCTTGGGGCACCAGAGTTCTGGGTAGGGAGGAGTGAAAAACAAGGTTCTGACAAAGTATATCCTTAGGTGTCCCTGCTGTTTGAAGTGGAGAACTTGGCGGTGGCCTCTCCAGCCACTGTGTCTCGCTGTGGGATGGTGTACACTGACTACGCGGACCTGGGCTGGAAGCCCTATGTTCAGTCATGGCTAGAGAAGAGGCCAAAGGTATGAAGGGAACTGAGGAGAGGGAAGATACCAGCATAGACTATGGGACATAAGAATGAATAAAAAGTCCCTTCATATTCAACTCCAGGCTGAGGTAGAGCCCCTTCAACGCATGTTTGAAAAATTTATCGACAAGATGCTGACCTTCAAGAAGGACAATTGCAATGAACTGGTGCCCCTACCTGAATACAGTGGAATCATCTCTCTCTGCAAGCTGTACTCGTCGCTGGCCATGCCAGAGAATGGGGTAAGGGGGGCCAGAGCAGGGCCAGGCAGGAAGGGCTTATGACTTTCTGGGACAACTTCAGGGAAATGGCATGTCTGAGACACAAGTTAAACAGCTGGCTTGAGTGGAACAGAGACTACAAGGGAAGGCTACATTGACCATGGTGGCAGTGAGGGGCATGTGTGTGTGTGTGTGTGCTGGAATGCCAAAGTAAGGTCTCTAAATTGGATATTGTACACAGTGGGGCTCACTAGCATTGGCTCTTTATATTTTGGGAACTGAGGATAATTCATGTAGTTTCTCATTTCTGTGTCCTTTCAAAAAATAAATATTAAGTCTCGGGATACTGTTCCTGCTGGAAGGAGTTCCCAACTTAATCTCCTGAGGGGCTTTAGACATTTTCAGATTAATTGATATGTAAGAAAAAACTTTGTTCAGCTTAAAATTATGGAGTAAGGACCAAAATTGTATATTTTTTTCTATTGAGATTAAATCACTGCCTAGAAATGTTTTGTGTTGTTTTTAAAGATATTGCCAGATAATTAAACTGTTAACATAAAGTTATATAACAGTTAAGATCTATAACAGTATATGCCATTCATGATATAATTCATGTAACTTAAAACTATGTTGATAAACTTTCAAGGTGACATATGGAAAAAGGACAATAGTCCCAGGTGCTTGGGAGGACTGGCCAGGGAGGGCACTGAGCAGAGAAGAAAGAGCACTGATGAATAGAACAAAGGGAGAAGGGCATTCATTCTAGGTAAAGAGGAATGGTCTTCACAAAAACATGGAGACACAAGAGTCAGTCCATGCTTGGCAAGGAAGGGTGGGGTAGTATTTGCATGCAGACCCTCTTCAGTGTAGCAGAGACCCCAAGAAGAGAATGGGGATATGTGTTCCATGCTGGGATAAGCTGGAAGGACAAACTGAGGGTTCTAGACTGAGTATGATAGACAGTAGAGTCTCAACAACATTGTCCATCTACCTTTTGAGGATTGAGGACTGAGGATTCTTCTAAGACCAAGTCTAGTATTCTGGATTGGGCAGCATCCTGTATATAACATTGTCTGTAGTGTTAGGAGTTTTAATTTAGAACCCATCCCCAAGAGCTCCACACCTGTGGGCCAATGGCTGTTTCATAAAGTAGGTTGGAGATGATGCAAATGATGCCAAGTTGGCTGCCTGTTGGCCATTTCCCCCAAGCAGTTCAGTGTCATTTGCACAGCCCCACATGTGCCACTCACCTTATCAAAGGGCAGCATTGGCACTTACCCTTTGGGTTGGGGGTTGAGAGCAAGAGCTCTAAATATGCTATTTCTGCTATTCAGTTGATACATTAAAACAATTTTTTAAAAGATTTTTTATTTAGTTTTTAGAGAGAGGGGAAAAAAGGGAGAAAGAGAGGGAAAGAAATATTGAAGTGTGACAGAGACATCAGTTGGTTACCTCTTGCACGCCCAGGCATGTGCCCTGACTGGGAATCAAACTGGCGACCCTTTGGTTGGCAAGCTGGCACTCAATCCACTGAGCCACACTAGTCAGGGCATAAATTTTAATTTTTAAATACTCAAGTACCAGTTGAATCTAGTTTCCTTTCTAAAAATTAAATTTTTTTTGTACACAGTTAAAGTTGTTTTTGATCACCTTCCCCCTCTCAGTTCTGGCCTACTTTCCTCTCCACACAAGTAACTACTATAGTGTGTTTGTTTGTATGTGTCATTCCAGGCCTATTAAAAATGCACATTTACATACAAGCCCCTAGATACCCATAGAAAATGTGGTATTTACAAAAATGTACTATGTACTACACACCATACTTGCAATATGCTTATTAAATCAATAATATGTTTGAGTTCTAGACTGCTACATGCAGATTAACTTCATTGCTTTTAACTGCTATGTACTATTCCATGGTAAAACATGACATTTTACTTTTTTGTTCCTCTACTGGTGGATGTTTAGGCCATCTACAATTTTTTTGCAGTTACAAAGAAGTCACCACAAATGTCCCTGGACCTGTCTCCTTGAGCACCTGTGGGCACTTCTTCAGGGTAGACATGGTGTGGCTAGGTCCCTGCCGTGTCTTTATAACAGTAGAGAAGAAACTCGGGGCCACTTCTGGGCTACAAGGAGTTTCAGGTTTATCTAAATGTTTTAGATTTAGGTTTATTTATACCATATGGTTTTCCAAACAGAACCCGGAAGGGAGGAAAACTTTAAGCCTTTGTGGTGATCTGCCAAAGTAGATCCCTCCATTTCTTACAGATGGCGAGTATTTCCCCTTGTCTTTTTCCATCCAGGTGAACCCAGCTGATAGTGAGAACTATGTCGCTATGGTAGAGCTGACTTTTGTGTTCAGCATGATCTGGTCTGTGTGTGCCTCTGTGGATGAGGAAGGCCGCAAGAAGATTGACAGCTACCTCCGAGAGATTGAAGGCACTTTTCCTAATAAGGTCAGGGACCCCAAAGCAGCTGTCCTGTTTTTCCTCTTTTTCCAGAGCCCACCTCTTCCCTGATCCTCAGCCTCTTCTCAGGCTTCAACCTGCCAGCCCAGCTCTCTTCTTTCCCCAGTGGTCTGTGAGTGCCTTTTTCAGGGCAGGAGAGAGCTAAAGGAAGGCTTTGGTAGCCTGACACACATTTCCTCTTCAGGACACAGTGTATGAGTATTTTGTGGACCCCAAGATGAGAAGCTGGACATCATTTGAGGATAAGCTCCCTAAAAGTTGGCGCTACCCCTCAAAGTGAGAGCCAGGCCTTGGGGGTGGTTTAGACTTGGGGCTGCAGTTGGTGGGAGATGTGGCGAGAGAGCTGGGGCCTAGAAGCAAAAGTGAGAAAGGAGAGGATGGCTTCCAGAGCAGAGAGGACTCTTGAGTACAGGAAGTGAGATGGAGAGGATACAGGACAGGAGCCTCAGGAGAAGGCCTGAGGAGAAGGCCCCCCAGGCCCCACAGGAGGCAGAGTTGGCGATTAGAGAGTGGCGATGTCAGAGGAAGGTAAATACTGGGAGACAGAATGAAGGGGGACTTAGAAAGGAGCAGGCCAATGATCTTTAAGACACAATTCCTTTTTCTCCCTAGTTGCCCCTTCTATAAGATTATGGTGCCCACTGTTGACACTGTTCGCTACAACCACCTGGTGAGCACCTTGGTGGCCAATCAGATTCCTGTCCTGCTGGTGGGTCCTGTGGGGACTGGGAAAACCTCCATCGCCCAGAGCGTTCTGCAGTCCTTGCCCTCAAGCCAGTGGTCAGTGCTCACTGTCAACATGTCTGCACAGGTGTGTTACAGGACCTGCACAGGTGTATTACAGGGGTCAGGCTGCCCACAGCCCACTCTCTCTCTGCCTTCTATTCTCTCTGGGGATCCCAGTCCCTGAATGACACTCCTCTATAACTCCATATTTCTCTTGAGTGGTGCAAGCATTCACTCTGTACCTTTTTCACCAGACCACATCCAATAATGTGCAGAGCATCATTGAGAGCAGGGTGGAGAAGCGAACCAAGGGTGTCTATGTACCATTTGGGGGCAAAAGCATGATCACCTTTATGGATGACCTAAATATGCCAGCTAAGGACACATTTGGGTCTCAGCCACCCCTGGAGCTGATTCGCCTCTGGATTGACTATGGCTTCTGGTATGATCGTTTGAAGCAGACCATCAAGTACATTCGAGTAAGCATCTGGGTCATTTGTTCTCTGTTCCCTCCCATGATAGGTTCAGTCCCCCCTCCACTGGGATGCCAGGATGGAATCCTATACTCTGATGTTCTTTCCACACAGGAGTATCCTGCCTTTCTCAGAACTGAGATAACTGGCTCCTAAGTTATTGATTCCTGTTATAACTCTCCTCGTTGACCCTGCCCAAAGGATACTGTCCTCTAACTTCCACTCCCTTGTCAGGCCTCTTACATCATGCTCACATGCCAAGCCTAATTCCATGCCACGCAGACCTGTCTAGGTGCCCAGAGTCTATAACTCCCTTCTCCAGCCCTTCTCTATCTCCCATTTTTGCCTTAACCTCCCCCATAATATCAGTCATCCCTTCCCAACCCAGGATCCAGGCAGCTCCCCTCAGTCCTGGATCTTCTGCCATGGGATTCTGAACATCTTGTTTGTTTCTTTTCTCTGAGTCAAGGGGCAGCAGCAATTTCAGCCTCATTTCTGGGGTGCCCATCTCTCTGGCACTCAGGGTCAAAAACTTACCTAATAATTAATATATTCATATATTCCTGAGAATATATACATGTGGATAGATATATACATTAAAAAAGAAAAAAGCTCTGGACTATCTAAGCAAATATTGGTTTTTAACGTACCTCTATTTTCTAATTTGGGTACATGGATTATAATAATGAAATAAAAGCAAAATACATTACTTTAATAATCCTAAAAAAAAAAGTGTTCCTATTCCCTTTCTTCCCTTTACCTTTCCCTGCCCCCATTACTTCATGTTCTTTCCTGCTGATTCTCTTTTTTCTTTTTTCTACTTTTATTATTAGAGATAATTGTGGTTCCTATCAATGCTTTGTTTCTGTGTATAAATGTAAGAAAGTGTCTCATGAACTCATTTCTATTTTCAGTGTTATATATTTGAGCTAATGTGAATATTTTACTTTTTTCTTTTAAAAATATTTCTTCCTGCTGATTCTGTCCCTGTCCCTCGTCCCACTTGTTCCTCCATGTACTCTCTCTCCCTCCTGGCTCCTTTTACATCCTCCCTGTTTCTGTGCCTCCTCTCATCCCCGCTCCTCATCTGCATTGTCTTTGCTCTCTAGGACATGTTCCTGATGGCTGCCATGGGCCCTCCTGGGGGTGGCCGGACTGTCATCTCTCCTAGACTGCAGAGTCGCTTCAACATCATCAACATGACCTTCCCCACAGTGAGGGCAACTGGGGCTGCCAGGGGGGTACTATAGAAGGCAAAACCATCTGTGTCCTAGAAAATGAGGGGGCAGGTCAGGGAGGGGGCTCAGAACCCCCTTCAGCAGAGTTGCATATAGGAAGCTATATTCTGTGGAGGGGAGGCTACCATCTGTAGGAGCCTTTGCTTCTCCTGAGCTAGGAGAGCCACAGGATAAAAGTGTTGCCTGCTGGCTCTGGAATGGGTAGCCTCATTGTCCCAGTGGGCAGAGAGTGTAGGGGCCCCAAATAGTCTAAGGAAGGTAAATGCTACAGAGCTGACAGATGAGAGCATTGCCAGAATTAGAGTGAGACAAATGAGGCACTCAAAAGGTGCCAAACAAATTCGGTAGTCAAGATCAACAATATTTTAATGCATTTTTTAAAAGTAAGCCCAAAATTTCATTATGAACAAAATACAAACCTTTTAAATAAATATGAGATTGGAACAGTACCATGCTGAGCCATATTGGAGACTGAGTAAAAAAAGAAAAATTGATAATACTAATTCTATCTTTATTTAAAATGTTGGTATTTGTTCATCATAGATATTTAATATTAATTTTGATTTTTTAACATTGCATTAAAATAGTATTTCTCTTGATTTCTGAGGGGGTTTTTGGTGCCTCTTAAATTCTGCCCCCAAGATGAATGCTTCACTCCACCCTTGTCCCAGGCCTGGCTAAAAGCCCAGAGCCTGCGAAAGTGAATCAGAGGGCCTGTTTCTAGGAGTCTCAGATCATCCGAATATTTGGCACCATGATCAATCAGAAGCTTCAGGACTTTGAGGAAGAGGTGAAGCCCATTGGGAATGTGGTGACTGAGGCCACCTTAGAGGTGTACAACACTGTGGTCCAGCGTTTCCTGCCCACACCCGCCAAGATCCACTACCTCTTCAACCTTCGAGACATCTCCAAGGTAAAACCCAGCTCACCTGGTCCCTGTGCTTGGTATAGCCTCCATACTGGTATTCTTTTCTCAGAGTAAGCCTTGGAGCTCAGTAGCATTCCATAAACCCTAAATCACCACCATCCTCCAATGCTATGCTCTCTGGCCTTACCTCAAATTTCTGAAGGAATTCCCTTTCCTTCCTCCACCCCCATTAGCCATGCTTCTTCCCCAGGTATTTCAGGGCATGCTTAGAGCCAACAAGGACTTCCACGACACCAAGTCCAGCATCACACGGCTCTGGATCCATGAATGTTTTAGGTGAGATGCCTGTGCCCCTCCAGATCCAGGCTTCAGCAGCCTTGCTCCAAGCCTCGCCTCTACCTCACCCCGATGCTCCTTTCCAGGGTTGTTTTTCTTCTTATTCCCAGATCTCACCCCAATTCCCTCCCAACAGAGTCTTTTCTGACCGACTGGTTGATGCAGCAGACACGGAAGCCTTTGTGGTCATCTTAAGTGACAAACTCGGCTCCTTCTTTGACCTTACATTTCATAATCTTTGTCCCAACAAACGTTCTCCTATCTTTGGTGAGTTGGGAGCTGTGGCTGGAGACTCTTTGGAGGTGGGTTAGAAGGTGGGTCGAGCATGGAGCCCTGGTGCTTAGGGCCCTTTATGGAAGTTGTGGGGGGAAGACCAGACATTTGAGATGCTGACCCCCTCTTTTGATCACCCAGGGGACTTCATGAGGGAGCCTAAGGTATATGAAGACCTGACTGATCTGACAGTACTGAAGACAGCCATGGAGACGGCTCTAAATGAGTACAATCTGTCACCTGCTGTTGTGCCAATGTATCTTGTGCTCTTCCGAGAAGCTATTGAACACAGTGAGTGTTTCCTATTCCCCTTCCCTTCCCCAGAATCCCAATTATGATGCATTTCCAAGGAAATAGGGATTCCTTCCCAGGTCTCTCCTGGAAGTCACCTTCCTCCTTGGTTCCAGATGCCTTTGTGGCAATGGGTGGGACTTTTCCTTGACAGTGGTGTTTAACAGACAGGGTGGAGGTTAAAAGTTCAATTGCTACCAGGGCTTCAGACACTAACCTCTTTCCACATCTCTTGGTCCCTGTATTTTAGTTTCAGGCACCCAAGTCTCTAGTCTAGAGCCTGGAGATCCCCTGAGGTTGCTCAGCCAACTCATTGTTCTTGTTCCCCATCTCCCACCCCCTAGTCACACGGATTGTGCGGGTCATTGGACAGCCTCGGGGCAACATGCTCTTGGTGGGCATTGGGGGCAGTGGGCGCCAGAGTCTGGCCCGCTTGGCCTCATCCATCTGCGAGTACATCACCTTCCAGATTGAAGTCACCAAGCATTATCGGAAGCAAGAGTTCCGAGAGGGTATGGCTGGGTTTCTGAAAGAGGAGAGGGTTTGGCGCTAGACGTGAAAGATCAAGTGCCTGACTTTCTGTGATGGTCAGAGAGCGGGGATAGAAGCCAGATAATGAGCTGTGTCAGGCCTATGTGGGGTATAGAATCGTGGTGTGTGTGTGTGTTGAAGGCTGGAGTAGGGTGCCTAAATCTTAGAAAAGGAATAGGAGATGAACTAGTGAATCTAAAGAGTCTGTCTGTTCCCTTTTCCTCCTTTTCTCATCTGGTCCAGATATCAAGCGTCTGTACCGTCAGGCTGGGGTAGAACTCAAGGCTACATCCTTCCTTTTCACGGACACCCAAATTGCTGATGAATCATTCCTAGAGGATATTAACAACATCCTCAGCTCGGGCGAGGTCCCCAATCTCTACAAGACTGATGAATTTGAAGAAGTATGATTCCTTCCATGCCCTCCACCAGTTGGTTCTTGAACCTTCCTTATTAACCCCTAGAGAAGCCCAGATCCCAGAATATGCAGTGGCACCCCTTCTGTCAATCCCCCCATTAGGCAGAAGAACTGTTCCTCTTCTTCTCCCTCGAGGGATCCTATTGGGTGGAGCTGCTTTAACACCCACATCCTGTCAGCTCAGCCTCTCCTGCCATCCCCTCTGGTTCAGCCTTGCAACCTCAGCCCTCTGACCTTTTGTGGCTTCTGTGCAGATCCAGACACAAATCATAGATCAAGCCCGGGCAGAGCAGGTACCAGAGTCCTCGGACAGCCTCTTTGCCTACCTCATTGAGCGTGTGCGCAACAACCTGCACATCATTCTCTGTCTCAGCCCCGTGGGTGACCCCTTCAGGTAACTCCTGTAATGTAGCCTTCTCCTTCCCTCCCTGTGATAGCCCAGCTATCTTCACAGGGGTCTCCCCCTCTTTGGCCTCCCCTGTCTTCTGCGAATGAGTTCCATGGATAGTACCAGTCTCTACACCCCAAACGCCCCATCTCCTTTCCATAGACATTGCCTTCTTTCAAGAAGTTTCCTCTGTTTACATAGTTGTTCACCCCTGTTTGGTGTGACTAGATTGGTTGGTTTCTTTTGGTGGGGGGAGGAGCTAAGAAGGGTGGTATTTCTGTTTTGTTTTTAAAATTTTAATTGTGGCAAAAACTTCATAACATAAAATTTACCAACTTTGCTCTGGCTGGTGTGGCTCAGTGGATTGAGCGCCAGCCTGTGAACCAAAGGGCTGCCAGATCAGTTCCCAGTTGGGGAGCATGCCTGGGTTGCCGGATGTGTTCCCAGTGAGGGACGTGGGAGAGGCAGCCACACATTGATGTTTCTCTTCCTGTCTTTCTCCCTCCCCCTCTGTTTAAAAATAAAATAAATAAAATCTTTTAAAAAAATTTTTACCATATTAGCCATTTTTAAGTGTACAGCTCAGTAGTGTAACACATATTCACATTGTTGTACAACAGATCTCTAGAACTTTCTCATCTTGCAGAATTGAAACTCCATACCCATTGAATAGCTACCCATTTCTCCCATTTTCCCATCTCCTGGCAACCACCATTTTATTTTTTGTCTGTGATATCCCATATAAATTGGATCATAGAGTATTTGTCTTTTTGTGACTTGCTTAGCTTACTCAGCATAACGTCTTCAAGGTTCATTCATGTTGTAGCATGTGTCAGAATTTCCTTCCTTTTTAAGGCTGAATAATGTTCCATTATGTGTACAGACTATATTTTATTTGTCCACTCTTGGTATGACTAGATTTTTTAAAGCATTAGAAAGTAGGAGGAAGTCAGAACTTGCACAAGAGGCAATGTGGGTTACCATTTCATTTATTTTTTATAGTTATGGTATATGGTGCATTTGCCACATACCAGGCACTGTACTTAGTATTTTACATGTGTCACCTTACTGAATCTCCTAACAACCCTAGTTAGTATGCTTTGCTATTCACATTTTAGAGATGAGGAAACTGACATTCAAAAGATTCGATTGCTTGTTCAAGATCCACACCTAGAAAATGTGGAACTGGGTCTTTCTGACCCCAGAACCTGTTTCTAAATACTTCACTGAACTAGTTCTGAAGGGAGCAGAATCTGGACAAGGAGCTACAGGAACATGAGGATGGGGAACTGAGGTCCCTAGAACACAGGTAGTCAGTTACTGTGACAAAGCCAGTAACTGGAGGCTGACTCCATGAATGGACTTAACTACCTCTTAAAACCTCTGACCAGGAACTGGATCCGCCAGTACCCAGCCTTGGTGAACTGCACTACCATCAACTGGTTCTCAGAATGGCCCCGTGAAGCCCTGCTGGAGGTGGCTGAGAAGTACCTCATGGGCGTAGATCTGGGAACACAGGAGAATGTGAGACCCTCCTCCCATATCTCACCACACTCCCTGAGCTCTCTTCCATTTCCATTCTCCATCTGCCATCAACCTCTGTCATATCCTTTTTCTTTTGGCCTCAGATCCAGAGGAAGGTGGCCCAGATCTTTGTCACCATGCACTGGTCAGTGGCTCAGTATTCCCAGAAGATGCTGTTGGAACTGAGAAGATACAACTATGTGACCCCCACCAACTACCTGGAACTTGTATCTGGATATAAGAAGTATGAAGAAGAGTAACGGATGTGGAGGGCCAGGGAGCTTGGTGTCTTTTGAGAGCAATTACTGAAATAATATAGTGGAAAATATTCAGGAACTGGCCAAGGGGACTGGCTCTAGGGCCCAGGTGCAAATGTGGAATGGCAGAGGTACAATGCGTTTTAATTTTGCCCAGGAAGTTAATAAAAGAGAGAAGGACCTTTCAGGTATGTGGCTGTCTCTAGAGCCCTCTTCACACTCTCTTTGTCCTTATTTTCTGGAATGGTAGTTTTTTTTTCTTCAACCATAATTTGATGGTGACACTGCCGTATATACCCATAATATATATACCCAGTCCTCTCATCTCTGCCTGTAACATCTTCTAGATTTTCCACCATTCCTAAGAATTATATACTTATTCATTAAGTTGTATTGAGTATCTTTTTATGTGCACAACACAAGTCATTTGCTTTGAAGGAATAAGAGAAATGTAAAAAAACCCTTCATTTATTGGATTCAGTATTTTTTAAAGGATTTTATTTATTTATTTTTAGAGAGGGGAAGGGAGGGAGAAAGAGAGGGAGAGAAACATCAAGTGTGGTTGCCTGGTTGCGTCTTGTGCACCCCCTACTGGGGATGTGGCCTGCAACCCAGGCATGTGCCCTGACTGGAATCAAACCAATGACCCTTTGGTTCACAGGCTGGCACTCAATCCCCTGAGCCACACCAGCCAGAGCAGATTCAGTATTTTAATCAAAGTGAAGAAAAAGCCATTTGTAATAATAATGCTAGTCAACATTTAGTTATTTATTTAATATGTATTTGTTTACTAGATTGTTAAGAGCATCAGAAAGTGGGAGGAAGACAGAACTTGTACAGAGAGGCACTGTGGGTTACCCTTGCCCACTATGTGCCCGGCACTATTTTAGATACAACATACCAGTTAACAAAATAAAGCCCTTGCCTTCCCTGGGTCATAGGCTTACATTCTGTTTACTATTTGCTCGTTATCATACTAAGCCCTTTACATGCATTTTCTTTTTTAGTCCAGAAAACAATCCAGTTATTATTTATTTTTTTTTTTGCCTTGGGCAATGTTAAAACTTTTTGAATGAATTGCTAACACTTAAAACTTGGGAGCCTTAGAAAAATTCAGGTTTCCAACCTCTCTCTCAAATCAGAAATTTTGGCAATACTGAACTTACATTCATTCCCACACGGAAAAAAAAACCCCACAAAAAACCCAAAAAACCAAAAAACCCAACCAGGCTAGGGATAAAGGATGGCCATTCCTCAGGACAGGTTTGTGTTTCCTGGTTCACTGCAGCCCTCTGCCTACTGTACGCTGGGGGGCCGTGGAAGATTCTCAAGCAGTGAAATGGTGTGGTGAAACAGTGTCTATCAAGCTGATATTGACAGTGGTGCATAGGATAAATAGGGGATAAAAATCTGGAAGCACAAAGACCAGCTGAGAAACCATTGGCAATGATCCAAGAAGGAAATACTAAAAACCTGACCAGGGTGGTTGTGGCAACAGAAAGGAAGACAGGGACCTGAGACACACTGGGAAGGGAGACTGTATAGGAACTCCCCTTTCTGGGAGTCCAGCCTCTCCATGCACCTAATTCTACTTTGCCCCCAGGCTGCTGGCAGAGAAGCGGCAGGAGCTGCTAGACCAGGCCACTAAGCTGCGGACAGGATTGTTTAAGATTGATGAGACGAGGGAAAAGGTGGAAGTGATGTCGCTGGAGCTGGAGGATGCCAAGAAAAAGGTGGCTGAGTTCCAGAAACAGTGCGAGGAGTACCTTGTCATCATTGTACAGCAGAAGCGAGAAGCAGATGAGCAGCAGAAGGTGCGGATCCTGCCCTAGTCCTGCCCCTCATGCCCCTCCACCATCAGCACCCACTGGCCAGAGGCTTCTGGTCTCTGTCAGTTACTCTGTTGGGATGCCTGTTCCACTCCTCAAATTTTCGTTAGCTCTATCTTTCCTCATTACCAACATCATCACCTTTACCTTTGCCCAAAGCAAAGACAAAACCTTCACCTTCTTTCCACCCGTAGGCCGTCACAGCCCATAGTGAGAAGATTGCAGTTGAGGAAGTCAAGTGCCAGGCACTGGCTGACAATGCCCAGAAGGATCTTGAAGAGGCATTGCCAGCCCTGGAAGAGGCCATGAGGGTATTAGGGTGGGAGGGCCCAGGGAAGGGCCTCAAAGTCCCTGGGGGCATGGGAAGAAGAGCTGGGTCTTGTCCCCATAAAGGACCTTCTTGCTACCTGAGTTGACTCTAGCTCTGCTCCCTAAGTGAATCCCTTTTCCCAGGCCTTGGAGTCTCTGAACAAGAAGGATATAGGAGAGATCAAGTCTTATGGACGGCCCCCTGCCCAGGTGGAGATGGTGATGCAGGCAGTCATGATTCTTCGAGGCAATGAGCCCACTTGGGTGGAGGCCAAGAGGCAGCTAGGTGAGCTAAAGAACCAGGAGATAATTAACAGCAATTCACCCAACATTTCTTATTAATCATGTGCTGTATGTCAGGCACTCAGAGAGACAGAGATGAATGAGGCATTGTACTGACCCTTGAGCATAGAGCCTAGTGGAAAAGAGAAGACATAAATATCAGTTAAGATTCTTTGGTTGTAACAGAAAACTCATCTTAATTTGAGCCAAAACAAAGGGGGGTATTGTTATAAAGATAAAGGAATATATCTCAGAATCCAAGGGCAGGAATGCCTTTGCTGCCTGTCCCTCCAGCCCCCTCTCGCCACATACACACAAAGGGCAAGAATTATAAAATGGAAAACAAGAGTCTTGCTATTTCATTCTCGTGGTTTTCTCTGCTTCGAGTTCTCTTGGTAGAATATAGCCTGCAATCCTGAAAGAGTGATGTGTGGGATGGTTCAGATTAACGTGTTCAAGGTAAGTGATGGGGGATGAGGCTGGGAGGGTCCTGGGGCCTGCAAGGTTCTAGAGAAGGGAGCAAGGGCAGCAGAAGAAACTTGGCTGAAGGCAAGTATTCTGGCCTTGGGAACAAGTCCAGGAAAAACATGACTGCCTCTAAGCAGTGGAGGTGCAAGCTGGACAATGAGGGTGGATTTAGTCCTTCTGGCTGAGGCCCCTGATTTTTGTCCCACAGGGGAACAGAATTTCATCAAATCACTGATCCACTTTGATAAAGATAATATCTCAGATAAGGTTCTCAAGAAGATCGGGGCCTACTGTGCCCAGCCTGACTTCCAGCCTGACATCATTGGCCGAGTCTCACTTGCTGCCAAGTCCCTCTGTATGTGGGTGCGGGCCATGGAGGTAAGCAGGGGTGGGGCAGGGCAGGTGGGGAGCAGTGACACAGTCTGGGAAGAGGATGATGCACACAGGAGAAAGCTAGGAGAATGGAAGACCCAGGTGGGAAGGACCGCTTGTGGGTGAGCTGGAAGACCCAGGTGGGTGGGTGAACCCACAGCCTGGCTGTCTCCCTGTAGTTGTATGGCAGGCTGTATCGGGTGGTGGAGCCCAAGCGGATCCGAATGAATGCTGCATTGGCCCAGCTTCAGGAGAAGCAAGCAGCACTGGCTGAGGCCCAGGAGAAGCTGCGGGAGGTGAGCCTCTTACCAGTCTTTTCCGCTGTGGTCCCTCTCCCTGATTTCTGGGATGCTTTGTTACCATTCATCCCTCCCCAAATAATTCTTTTCCCCTCTCCCTTCCAGTCCTGTCTGCCTCCCACTCTATGCCCTGTTTAGATGGGCTGCCTCTGGCTGGGAAAGCTCAGCTGACTGCAGAGGGTTACAAAGGCACAGAGGGCACTGTCCCTGAGGAGCCCTTGCACAGACCTGGGAGCTGGCTGTCTTTGTCATGGCCTTTTCCAGGGATACGGGCCCTGAGATATTAACTGATGAAATCTGAGTGGCAAATCAGTCCTTGCTGGGAAGGGCACTGTGGAATAGGGCAAGGGCGCCAACATCACTGCTGCAGACCAAAAGGATGTGGCCTGAGCGTGTCTGAGCAAGTACTTGGGAGGGACAGGGTCATCCCAGAGGTAGAGGCACTGACTTACTGTGAACAGTCCAGACAACCCAGAAGGTGATTTCCTATAAGATATGTGTGTAAAGAACTCTCCAACAAGGCAGGGTGTAAAGTGCTATTATCAAGAGTTTGAAATTCTGACTTCCGGCCAAGATGGAGGCCTAGGTGGACACACCATACCTCCATGCACAACCAAGATTGGTACAACAACAATTTAGAGGCAGAATAACACCCAGAACTGATAGAAAATTTATCTGAATGGAAGTCGGACAGCCAAGAAGTTGAAATAGACCCATTCATCCAGACCAGTAGAAGGGGCGGAGGACAAGCAGCCAGGTGCAGGTCAGGTCGCCGCTCAGAGAACAGGGAGAACTGGGCACATAAGGCAACCGTGAGTGCAAAGGTATCTGGGGTGTGCAAGATCGCAGTGGGTTGACCCTGAGTACACAAGCGGCAGCTGGCAGACTCAGTGAGGCAGCGATTGTGGAGCAGGGCAGAGCGCACAACCCAGGATCCCAGGGAAGGGACTGAGGTCCCATGGAGAACGAAGCTACCGCCATTGTTCCCTCTTGACCCCGCCCTCACATACAACGTCACAATCTAGCGACTAGGGTGCCCAGCCCTGGTGAACACCTAAGGTTTCACCCCTCACTGTAACAGGAACGACCAGACCAAAAAAAAAAAAGAGAGAGAGAGATGGCTCAAATCAGTGAACAAAGAACAAATCAGTGCCCCAGAACTCATCCTTTTGGGTGACCAAGAGATAGATAACCTATCAGATGCACAGTTCAAAACACCGGTGATCAGGAAGCTCACAGAATTGGTTGATTTTGGTCACAAATTAGATGAACAAATGCAGGTTACCATAAAAGAAATGAAGGAAAATGCATAGGGAACCAATAGTGATGGGAAGGAAACTGGGACTCAAAACAATAGAGTGGACCAGAAGGAAGAAAGAAACAACCAAACAGGAAAGAATGGAGAAATAAGAATTCAAAAAAAAGAGGAGAAGCTTAGGAACCTCCAGGAGATCTTTAAACGTTCCAACACCCGAATTATAGGGGTACCAGAAGGGGAAAAGGTAGAGCAACAGATTGAAAACGTATTTGGATAAATAATAAAGGAGGACTTCCCCATTCTGGCAAAGGAAATAGACTTCCAGGAAGCTCAGAGAGCCCCAGAGAAGTTGGACCCAAGAAGAAACACGCCAAGGCACATCATAATTACATTAGCCAAGGTAAAAATGAAGGAGAGAATCCTAGAAGCAGCAAGAGATAAGGGGACAGTAACCTACAAAGGAGTTCCCATCAGACTGTCAGCTGATTTCTCAAAAGAGACCTTGCAGGCAAGAAGGGGCTGGAAAGAAGTATTCCAAGTCATGAAAGACAAGGACCTATATCCCAGATTACTCTATCCAGCAAAGCTTTCATTTAGAATGGAAGGGCAGATAAAGTGCTTTTCAGATAAGGTCAAGTTAAAGGAGTTCATCATCACCAAGCCCGTATTTTATGAAATGTTAAAGGGACTTATCTAAGAAAAGAAGATTAAAAAAAATGTATAGTAAAAGGACAGCAAACTCACAATTATTAACAACCACACCTAAAGCAAAACCAAAAGAAACTAAGCAAACAACTAGGACAGGAACAGAACCACAGAAATGGAGATCACATGGAGGGTTAGCAACAGGGGAGTGGGAGGAGGAGAGAGGGGGAAAAGGTACAGAGAATAAGTAGCATAGACTGTAGGTAGAAAATAGACAGGTGGGAGGGTAAGAATAGTATGGGAAATGTAGAAGTTAAAGAACTTACAAGTATGACACATGGACATGAACTAAAGGCGGGGGAATGGGAGGGAGAGGGTCTACAGGGTGGAGGGGAGTGAAGGGGGGAAATGGGACAACTGTAATAGCAAAATCAATAAAATATATTAAAAAAAGAGTTTGAAATTCTAGTCTGTCATTTAGTTTTTCTATCATTGATTTAATCGGTAATACAATTACATGGTTTGAAATTCAAAAAGTACAAAAGAGTATCCAGTAAGAAGTGTCCTTCACACCTCCTGCTGTCAAGCCACCACTCCTTTCCCTTGAAAGCAACCAATATTACAAATTCTTGTTTTTCTATCTAGGGCTGTTCTATGCTTATATAAACATATATATTTTCTCTTTTACATTAAACACACACTTTTGCACCTTCCTATCTTATTTGTCTGTATATTGAAGACTGTTCATATTGGTACATAAAGAGCTTCTGTTTTCTTTTTACCACATTATGATATTAGAGTGGATGGCTGTACCGTCATTTATTTAACTACTCCCTTTTTGATGGATGTATTCATTGGCTCCAATTTCTTGATCTATATTTGTCCTCAAACTTTGATGATACTATCTTTAACTATATAGAAGTTTTAAATTTTATGTAACCAAAGCTGGTTATACTGTTTCAAAGTGTTTTAACCAAAACCAGCTATGGAGACCAGCCATGTCCAGATTTGATGCCCTCAAATTGGATGAGGAGCCTGAGGTTTAGAGACTAAGTGGCCTGCTTGTTCCTAACAGACCTGGGCTAGAACCTGCATTTGATCCCAAGGCTGTTGCCACTACAGTTCATCCTGGTCTTTTCCTGTCACAGCATCTTTGCTGTTCAGAGTGAAGCTGCCCTGGAGGCCTCTTCTGACTGGGTTTGTGCAGAGTCTGCCAGGCTAGGGTGGGTGGGCTTCTCTCTGCACATGCTCCTCTATGGCCCCATTCCTGCCACCATTGTTGCCTTCCAACCTCTCATGGAACCTCCACTCTTCTTCTCTTCTTTTCAAACATGAATAGTCACAGGTGTGGCAATCCATTTGGGAAGGTTTCTTGCCTCTGGATGAACATATCCTTGGCCAAATAATTAGGGACTATTTCCTTTCTATGTAAAAAATGGGACCTCTGGGGTCAGCTGCCAACAACATCCTTCACTAGACAAATATTTACAGAGTACTCAATGTTAGGTCTTTTGATAACCCCCAAGTGATAGGAGTAAGCACACAGGGAATCAACACTTCTCCTTTGTTACTATGACAAAGGCTGTGATGTATGAGCCAAATGTGCCTCTTCATGGAACTCAGAATCAAGCATCTTACTTATCCACTCACAAAGAGCACTGTGCTGATGCTGGACTCCACCCCAGGCCAAGTAAATATGAATCTCTGGTTCTCAGAGATTCTCAGAGCCAGGAAATCGGCATTTTGAAAGCTTTCTTGTCAGAGCTAGGTGTGGGAAAGCCTGTATGTAGCTCTAGGGCCCAGAAGTCTGGAGGGAGGCCCAGAGCCCAACTATATTGCATATCAGCCCAAATCTTGAGTTAGTCGTTTTAACCAATACTCACTTGTTTGGGACCCTGAGAATATATTTCCACAGGCTGGATTCTGACATGCAGCAGCGGTTATGGACCACTGGCTTAGAAATTGCCCCAGAAGGCCCTGAAATGGGTCAGGACAGAATCTGAATCTACTTCAAGGAAATTGTATACTCAAGGATGAAAATTCACTTTCCTTCCTATTTCCCATTCCAAATTATGTCATATTATTCAACATAGTATATCAGAGGTTATGCAGTAAGTTTAAAAGATAGCATTAAAATGCTGCAATAATAATACACAAAAATTCCACAAATTTGAATATAACCCCCCAGAAGAAATTAAATTTCAAAGATTAAATCTTTTCATAAACTAAAATCCAAGCACATTAAAATCTGAAATTGAATTATCTTGCTTTTGTGAGTTAAAAATCTAGAAGCCGACATTATGTTCAAGTCCCCAACCCATACTTCCCAGTTTCTTATTCTGCTCAGTCTTAGCTGAGGAGTTCTCAGGAGCTGGGTCTCAGGTTCCTTGCATTACACTGGGGGCTGACATTCACTGGAAATGGATGTGGTTCCTGCAGGACTTCAGAGGCTATACTAGTTCAAAATCAAGTCTCTCATGACCATTACTCAAAAATTAAAAAGAACTCAAGGACTTTAATAAGGCATTCAAGACTTCCAGATAAAATGATGTTCCCAGAAACCAGTTATTAATGCCCCGAAGAGCAGAGTAGAAACTCAGTGGTATTTTTAGGGATGAGGATACATGGAGAAAATCTTGGTTTTAGCCTCACCAGAATATCAGTCATCTGGAAACCATGACTTGTGAACTTAAACTAAACTGGGAGAAACTTCCAGCAATAGATTAAGAGATGTAATGCAGCTAATAAGCATTTACTGTATTGGGGGTGTTGGAAATCCACCAATGTGTATCTTATTCTTTGGAGGGGAGTTATTGTGGTAAAACGCACATAAAATTTACCATCATAATCACTTTAAAGTGTACAAGCCAGTGGCACTGAGTACATTCACCACGTTGTGCAGCCATCTCCACGATCTTGTTCCAGAACTCTTCATCCCTCCAAATAGTAAGCCTGTGTACATTCTTCTATTTATTTATTTATTTATTTATTTATTTATTTATTTTAGATGAGGGTGAAGGGAGGGAGAAAGAGAGGGAGAGAAACATCAGTGTGTGGTTGCCTCTGGTGTGCCCCCTACTGGGGGCCTGACCTG